AAGCCTTACAGAGGCAGCTGAGCTGTGACAAACTTCCCAGGACCACTGCCAAATGGTCACCTATTAACTGACTCCCTGGCATTCCTCTGTGCAAACACCCAGCACTGGAATGCTGTCTGCTGCCAGCCTGCTCCTGGGACAGCAGCTCTGCAGCCCTGACAGCCACGCCGTGGGTTTCCCTGCAGGTACCCACAGGGAAGGCCAAGGACAGGCAGCGAGCAGCGGGTGGCTGGGGACAGCACCCACCCCGGGTGGGAAAGCAAAGCAAGCAGTAGCATTTCATCAGAGGAGGCCTGCAAAGAAAACATTATTTCCTCAAATGTGTTCATCATTCAAAATTGTTCAAGCAGAGGTTTCCATCGTGCTGTGGCCATTACTCATAATCTGAGGATCTGGATGCGTGGCTCTCCTTGGTAATTAGCCGCACGGCGTTCTCTCTGCCCTCCATTTGGTGGAACAGCAGTCATGTTTAGTCCCAGGGTGTCTCCACAGAACAAACAGGGCAGGTCCTGGCTGTGGGGTCTTGAAACAGAACTACAAGGCCAGATTTCATCCCTGTACCACTGAACAGTGCCAGTGCCTGTGCCCCCTGGCAGGTCACGGGGTGCTGTGGGCCCTGCTCCCCTTGTGGTGGAGGCTGCTGGTGACAGTCTCTCCTCCTGGACCATCCTGCAGGTGAGGGATGCCCTGAACCCCTGTCCTGGCCAAAGGCACCACTGGGTGCTGCATAAATGAGTTATCTCTGGTAGGATTGCTGTACATTGGTGTCCTGTGCATCACAACTGAAACACATATGTGACAACTTATCTAGTGCTTAGTAACAACTAGGGGACAGGAAAGTTAATAGGAAATAGATCAAGAAACTGCTTTTTCAAAATTGCTTTGTTTGTTTCAGAGTGGGTGTCTGAGTTAAAGGGGATTAGGACCTCCTCACTTTTTGTAGAATAATCAAGGTGCAAACTAGACATATAGAAGGAAAGTTGTGACTGCAAGGAGATATTTTGGTGCACCAAATTAGAGGCAGCAGGTTAATCCTACCTTCAAGAAACCTTAAAACCAGGCAGCAGCTGAGCTGTGACCTGCAGCAACTCCAGCATGAAATGAAACTCTGGGCTGATTTTCCTCCAAAGACAAACATGGAAAACATGGAATGTGCAGCATTATTGCACTGCTATGCTAAATGTGGCTATGGAGAGATTAATTCCTGCAGCACAAAGAATTTTAAAGGACTTTAGCTTACAGGCAGGATGGAGATGCAGGATCCTTTACAGCTTGTTTCCCCCTGCAAACTGGGATCCTTTCTGATGGTGAGGTCTGACCAGGGCTGGCTGGCAGCTCCTGCTGCCCTTGGGAGAAGCATGGGCAGCAGCACTGGGCCAGTGCCCTTGTGCTAGCCACAGGACTCTGTATATTGCCTGTTCTCAGCTGAAGGTGTAGAGCCCTGTGCACTGCTATTCTTCAGAGGTGGTATCTGGGCACAGATTTTGCTGTTACAAAATGCTTGAAATCTTTACAAAATGTAAAGCGGGTGGTGGGGATCGACCACTCTCCTATCTTGGTCCAGCCTCTGACTGAGGAGGATGTGGCTGCTCAGCTGAGGAGCTCTGGGGCTGGGGATGCCAGGACAGGGGCCCTGCCCTCCTGCACGGCCAGCCTCAGCCCTGGCTTTCCCCACGGACAGTGGGAGCTGCAGCGTGGTGGGCAGGACCTGGCCACACAATCAGGTGTGAGACCCCAGCACTGAGCACTGGCTCCCCAGGCACCCTCTTCAGCCCCACAAATGCTGCCAGCAAAGCACCGTGAGGTGCAAAGCTGTGCTGTGGGCAGTACCGAGCCCCGAGGATGGCACCACGCCGGGCTGTGGCAGGGTGGCACGGACGGAGCACGTCCCAACAGCTGACAGCCCCAGCTTGCGTGCACGAGTCTTTGGAACAGTGTTCTGCAAGATCTGAGCTCTGGCAGCCATCCACCCAGGGATGAATGTTTGTTCAGCCACAGCAACAGTATCGGAGCCAAGGCTGACCAAAATCCCCCCCATTAGGTGTCCTGAAAAGACGACGCTGGTATGAACTGGACAGCACGTACAGGACTGCAGAACTCGTGAGAAAAGACGTGTTCTGAAATAAAGAGGAGTAAATAAATGGATCTTGAAAAAGATGGATGTAAAATATTCATAGGAAAGCATTATACTTGCAAATATTTATGCTTTTGAGTAACTTTACACAGATAGATTAACCAGCTCCAGTGCAGCTGTGATTCATGTACCCAGCACCCAGCATTTGCTGATTCAGAGCCCGTGCAGTGCCCGTGGAAGAGAACAATAGGATTTTTCCCAGGCACCAAAGCTCCCAGGTTCAAAGGTGCCCGCGGGCAGAGGTGCCAGCACTGCCTGGGCTGTGCTGCTGTCCAGCTGCAGTCACTCCGGGGGCAGCAGCCAAGCCCTGCTGGAAGTGACTCTCTCTGGAAAACACGTTATTGCAGATCATGCCACAGACACACTGGGATATATGCTGGCAGTGAATCTTTGAATATTTTGTGGATACTAAGCAGCAATTAGAGTCTTCCTTTGGAATCAATTCATTTCCTACCACCATGGTAGCAGGGAGGATCTTATTGAAACTCTCGGATTTTTAATATTATTACACTAAAGACTCTCTCAGTATCAGCATCTCCATGGGGGAGCATTAGCACACTGTAATGTGTAACAACTTCTCCAGTTCAGGAAATCTTCCTGTATTTGTAATAGGACATTTGGGGCATATATTATGTATGGGACATATATTTCTCATTTCCACCAGGCATCATCTTTTCTCCTCTCTAAATTACTCTCCAAATAAAAAAAAAAAAAATGCATTGTACCTTATCGCTCAAAATATATATATTTATCTTTTTAAATCTTTGGATGCAGAAGCCACTTCCAGCCATCAGGGCTGTACTCAGTAAGAGCCAGAAAGCCTTGGTCAAACAGGGAGGGAACACTGTTCAAAACTCCTATTATTACCATGGTTCAGCAAGCAACAGGCTAAAACGCTTTACTGGAGAGAAGCACCAGTCAGGACAGGAGGAAGGCTTGTCCCAGCCCAGGATTGTGTCCAGGATGGAGCAGGACTCCAGTTTCTGTTGTTTGCTTTACGGACAGGAACACAAAACCACTAATGCGTACGTTGCCTTCCAAACAAACCTCTCAAACACTGACTAATCACAGCTCGTGGTGTTTTGCTTGGTAGGAAGTCTGACCACAGCAGGATGAAGAGCAAGGAGCTGAAACAGCCCTGAGGATCAAACCCAAGAGCTGCTCTGGTCCTCAGCCCTGCAGGCACATCAGCACCTACTGCCAGTCATGGCTGGGCCAGGGGAAACGCTGCTCAGCGAGCTCCTGTCCACCTCAGAGAGAGCCAGAGGGGTGCAAAACCAGCTGGAGACACCCACGAAAGGAAAGAGAAGGGTTGTGGGCTCAGCCACTCCCGCTCGGCTCGGCTCAGACTGGCTAAAGCCATGCAGAGACACTCCGAACAGGATGGAAGGCACAAACCATTATCTAGGTGAGAAAAGAGCAGGCTGAACAGAACTCCCCAAAAGATGGCCAAATCAAGCAAAAAGACAACGGGGGAGGGAAATAGAAAAAGAAAAAAAGCGGGGGGGAGGGGAGGGGAATTAGTATTTTAGTTAAAGGCAGAATATCAGACAAGGAAACACCCTGTGACCATGGAGACGGACCCTCTGATAAAGGCACCACCCTGCCACGGGAGACCCGATTTAATCAAAGGGAGGAAATTTGGGTGTCTGAGTGAGATCCTTCTCTTCTAAGTCACAAAGGCCGTGTTCCCCACACAAAGAAAACTCTGGCGTCATGGAAAATAGAGTCAACCAGGTCTAAAAGGATGGGGGAGACCATCTGCTCCGAGGGAATGACTGAATAATGTCTGATAAGAGCTTTCGGGATGGCTTGCGACTTGACCATTAACAAAAATTCTCCAAGCTGTTGTTAACTCTTTGGTATTGTAGTTTTCACTGTTATCTTCACAGAATCTCTTGCTGCACTTCACACACATCACTTCTCAGCCTCTCACAAAGGGGAACAGTTCCTGCCCTTCGCTTTAATTCTCATACACATTAACGTGTAACGTGTTTCCTTCCCTCCCTTATGTCGTTCTTCACCCCAGGGTTTTTTTCTTTGCTTTAGATTAGCAGCTCCAGCTCTCGGTCTTGCACCGAAGGCTGCTGATGTCAGCCCCCACACCCATCTTGCTGCTCTCCAGACGATGGTTGATGACCTTGCCTCAGGTAAGGCGCTCAAAAGGCAGTGCAGGACAGCTGCAGGACTGGTTCATGTAATGATGCTGTGGACCCTGCTGCTGTGCCACGATGCGCTGCGATTCACATCTGCCAATTTCAATGAGCGTGGTGTCAGTTTCAGCACTGGCGCGTGTTAAGGTTGAGCAGCACCAGACCTTTGCAGACCCTCTGTTCTGGATGTTTGCTGTGCCGTGAGCGGACCCGAAGGCTGCTGGTCACTCAGCCAAACCCGGGCAAACCCTGACTACTTTGGACCATATCTTTATTTTCCAGGCCATAGTGAGACAGAGCATCAAATATCTTAATGAATTGAAGGTAGGTCCCGAAACCGCTCATCCCTCCCAACCCCAGGGATTCTTGAGAAGATAACCAGCTTGTTTGACACCATTCGCCCTTCCTCAGCCCACAGCAGCGGCTGCCCATCTTCTGGACGCAGCCGGTTTCAGAAGGAAGCAGGTTACATCGTCCAAATCACAACGGTTCGGCCATTTCCACCTGGCACCTCCCGTCTGCTGCGGGCCGGGAGGCTGTTCGGAGCGCAACGGGGAGCCGGGCCGGGCACTGCCCCGTTCCCGAGGAAGGGAGGTTCTGGCGAGGTGTGGCCCGGGACCGTGACGGGGCCGAGCCCGGTGCCCGGGGCCGCGGGCGGGGCCGGGCCGGGCCG